CCGACAGTCACTGTAACACAGGTGTTGACCGCCGACAGTCACTGTAACACAGGTGTTGACCGCCGACAGTCACTGTAACACAGGTGTTGACCGCCGACAGTCACTGTAACACAGGTGTTGACCGCCGACAGTCACTGTAACACAGGTGAAATTGAATATCTAAGTCCTACACACTCTGGTACCATGCTAACACTAGCACCTAAAATGGTGTCACCACCTTAATACAGGAATGTCCTTTACTGTCCCTGAACTTTGTCACTTAAGATTCTGTTCACATTTCAGAGTGTATGAATAAATCTTTAATTTCAAAACCTCGAACATAATAACTTACTAATTACAAAACGTGTTATATTACTTTTCACTTTAGACAGAATGAGAATTATTGAAACTCTGTAGTAAAGCGATTGTTTTAGAAAACAAATTGCATTCTCTCCTTACATTAACAATAATATAAGACACATCTCCATATTCCAACCTGTATATTACATATATACACAGTACATGCATGCATAATTTATTTCTTGAACACACAATATTCATTTTAGCAACATAAATGTATGTTAATGCTGAGCACTGCACAAAAATGTCTAAATCTAAAAACTCCAGGTATAATTAGATACACAAGTCTGACAAAAGCACAAAAATCAGTGACCAAACGGTCCTCGTCGCTCAAACAACTCCCATATGCTCCAGTCATGCTGCAATTTTTGTGATTTTAAATTGGTCTGGCCTAATGACATCATCATAAACCTCGGTCCAAAACTGACAGAAGATCAGTTCTGTCACGTAAACAGTTCCGACCTGAAGGTGATCAGTTCTGTCACGTAAACAGTTCGGACCTGAAGGTGATCAGTTCTTTGTTGATGAATTTAGAAATAACTGTCACCAATGTCACAGATGCAATGATACTGTATGATGATGGAAAGATGAAAAAAAGTGAAAAAAACCCAGATTGGAGCATTGTACGATTGCAGGGATTTTTGAGTGACGAAAGTGCTGACAAATACAAGTGATTTTCCTACTTTTGATAAGATTTTTATTCTTTTTGCAAAATCTTCCTAGTTGGTACAATAAAACAGACATTAAAATAACATTAAAATGCTCGGTCAATGTCACTAGCCAGGACTAGTAAAAAAAATCCATATGAAAATATATGCCAACTTATAAGAAATTATCCTGAATCTACACGTGGGCTTGTACCTCGACAATTAAATATTACATACCTGAATTCCACGTCTATCCATTCCACGTCTATCCATTTCCTATAAACTATCACTGTCTACCCTCTCATAAATACCATATCAATCAGAAAGTTAAAAGTTAAAAGTAAATAAATGGGGTGTTTTGTATACTTGCTAAAAGGCTGATTCACAATTCTGTTTTAAATGGGAAACAAGGGAAGAAGGATTTGCTTTTGATTAAGTTCAATGACGGCAAATATTTTTATTTCATTCTTATGAGTCATTTTCACCATATTTTTTTTAAATCTATGGGTACTAGCAATTTAAACTTCAGTTTTTCCAGAAATTCTGAGTCCCATGAAAAGTCTGGGAGTATCAAGCTAGGGTTCAGGACTGGCTTTTAGACCTCTAACTGAATGGTGGTCCTTAAAATTATACCGGAGTAAGAGAAAAGCAATTTTGCATTGTATAAAAAAATTCCAAAGCAGTTAAAGAATGCTATTACTCGATAACATTTAGTAGAGAATGTTTTGTTTTATTTGATATTTCAGGAAGTAGGAAAATCACCAAATACATACAAGTAGTGATGAGATAAGAAGATGAAACGGATAAATACCGAGAGTCGCGTCGCCATTGGAGTCGTCCGTCATCATGTGCTGGAGCTGTTCGGGCGTGCCTACAAAACAGGGATAATGATGTGGTGATGATGCAGGAAAGCAAGGGCATGAAAAACACCATGAGGATGTGTCGTGATGAAGAAATGTGCTGGTCAGGTCAAAACAGTCAATATTTCTATCATACGCGATTCAACATGTTCATTTGGAAAAATATATCTTTATTTTTTTAAGTAACCCTCGAAAAACTTATTTTATTTGCATATCAGAAACAATTCTTAATCAAATCCTGACACAAGATCTACAAGAATCCACTATACATTACTGTTGAAGTATTTTCATTAGTGAAATCTTAAATGCCACTGAAGTACCAAACAGGATTTTATTTTATTTTTTTTCCTGCAAACAGTTATAGAATATAGCATACCTACTTCGGTTGAATTATTTCTTTGTGGATTTCATGTTTTTTGAGTAGATTTGTTTTTTTAAATATCTTTTTTTTTACTTATCTTTTTTACATTTTCATGTTTTTATCTCAATATTTCCTTCATGAAATTAAACTACAACAACAGTACCTCAATTATTGCAGAGAAAACTATAATAACATTACAATTAGTGCTTTTACAGTAATCTTGTAGATTCTCGCTGCTACATTTAAGATAAATTTCTTCAGAATTGGAGACAATTTTGATTTCTACTTAATATTGATGACACATTTAAATGTTTGTTTTAACAGTACTGTTTTGACATGACCAGCAGCAATGATAACGGATGCAATTAAAAATTTGACATGAAAAATTGATGAAATTCAATATTTCTAGCTAACTGACTTTTGAATAATTACCAACCAATAAAATATGACAAAACAAACAATAAATTTAAAATGAGCAATTAGAATATTGATGCTTTGGCCAAGTTCACCATGCCAAGAACCCTCATACCATATCCCAAGTTTACCGACTATACAGTGAAGATTTTCCTGATAATTTGGGTAGTTAGTTATATTCATGTTCAGAAAATTTGACAGCATATTGAAGCACTAAAATCCAATTTTCACTTATATATTCTTATAGAATAAAAAGTTTTCTCACACCCTTCTTATTATGAAATATTCAAGTTAAAATTAGAAAATTTAAAAAAAAATCTCTTCAGATTTTAGATTTTGAACATTTTCTTTATCAAATTGTACAGAAACTGTCTGAATCTCATTGGGAATTGGGTTAAATTTTTTAAATCTTCCCTCAAAATACCAGAAAAACCTTGGGGCTGTATGTACATGTATTGTCTGTGCACCCATGGCTACAAAAATTAAAATGAAGAGGAAAATCAACTCATGATCAGTAAGGAAGAAAGCAAATGGACAGGTTCATGAGGAAGATGTGAACAATGGACGATAAATAAAATATTAAAAAACAAAAAACAAAATGAACAAATAATCATGTATTGATACCAATAAGTGATTGGATCATGACTTGGGTGACTTTGGTCCCTGCTGGGAAACATTAACAATGCTTCCACTTACAAGGACAATTTCTCAAGTTCACCAAAATACCGAAATTCTTGGCAAAACAGAGTGGAAATGAAAACAAATTTTCTCAAAATGACTACAAATTGCCTTTTAGGTATATATGACCCTTTTCTAAATGTTACTCCTTGCATGATTCTCTTTCATTCTTTTCCAAATTATTTGGTTGTTCATCCTTCCATCCCTTAACAAATTACGAGTCTGCCTCAGACAGCAGACCTGGGGCAAATCTGAAGTTAGACACATCATCGCTTGCTTTCATTCAACTAGAAACTGTTACTCCTTGCTGACTCCGTAATTCACATACAGATAATGTATTTGACCTGTCAAAGAGCCCCTGTCCCTGAAAGTGTCGCCTTCCCCTATCATAGCAGGAGGGGACAATTACCACCTAATAAAATTATCAACAAATCCAATTTCAACTACACTACATCTGAAAAACACAAATGTAGAAGAGAAAACAAACAGACCCAGTTCACATTCAAACATCCAACAAGTAAACGCAGTACAACAAAAATCGCCATACAGTCAAAATATATAGTTTCCTGTTCACAATCTGTAGGAAATTTAGTAACTACACTAGACTATTGGTTAATTTTCTTTGTGGTAGACAGTGCTCTCTGTTCACAATTTTATTTGCCATTATTTTGATGACAGCACAGATGTCCCATTGTGACTTATTAATGAGATCAGCCAAACCCGGTTCAGTACAAACTGCGACAGTATATTTCATTGAACCAAGTAATGTTTGGTGCCCATGTGTATGGAAAAAACCCATTCCATTTATACTGGCGACTTGGCATCCTGATTCAATCCAATGAATGGAACCAACTCCACATGTGAAAGAGTGTGTCATATCCAATTATGAAGAACCAGTACTGTAGAAGAGAAACTATGTGAAAAGTCACAAACCTATAGGACATATAAATTTCAATAAATGACAAATTCGAGTGAAAAATGGTAGCTGAGATGTTTCTTGACAATCAAAATGTTCACTGCAACCGATGTGGGATTCAAAATGATCAGATTCGCTTTCAGTCAGGGAATATGAAAAAGCTTTTTTGTAAATGGCTTTGAAACCAAATCTTTTTCAAAAATTAAGACTTGTTTGTGACACGCTCCGAAAGGGAAGTGCTAGTTCCGTACATACACGTGTGCTTAACTTTCATATAGGGTTGTAATACAAAATAGGAATGTGCGGAGAATCCCATCAACTGCCCGATGCAAACCAGTGATGCATCATGCCGAAGAAGCTTTTGAAACACAGTGATAACCAACGGTAGACAATGTGCCATTATCCCGAACAAAGCAGGCTACTGGCCATCAGCCAGCAGATGAAAAAAGATTTGTACAAAAAATAATTACAGTCTGAAAGTCACAGGGACAAAATACTTTGTGATAAACCCATCAAAAAGCTGATCTGACGGCGACATGCAATATAGGATGTTTGCAATAACACTTGGGGTAAATGTGGGTCATTATTTACTGTATTTGCATGTTCATTAATTTGCAGAAATATGATTGGGTGGGTCTTGACACCATGTTCATTGTCTTGGTAAATGAGAATTGCAGAGTCTCAGTTTAAGAACTTGTACAAATCCAGTCCACTGTTTTGTTGTCTACCTGTATCATGGACTGGGGACAATAATCAAATTTAAACTGTCCGTATAAACTCCTGTTACAGTAATTCCTGTTTCTGATTTTTCCTAATCGGTGATATCAGTAACAGTAACTACCCCCAAAAGTATAGATATTGTTCTTCTGAACATTTACATTTTTTCGAAATAATTTTTCATTACTTGAGAATTTTTCTTACATTTAGCATTTTATTGTCAAGATCAACCTATCAGTGTCCACAACATGGTATTTTACGCCTCATCAGGTTTGATTGTATCGATAGAACCACCTATCAGTACTAACATCTTTGTATATCCTATTTTACAACATAGTAATTAGCAAATGCTTAAAAACAATATGGTATTAAGCTGCCCCCTAATTAGTGAAGCATACGGACAGCGAGCACTGACCCAGTAATGAAGAAATCAAACAAGTGACGATGGAACGAACAGATATTAGATTCAATTGAGTTAATTCTGAAGTATACAACCCAATAGTGTATCACAAGGTAGATCGTATATGAGAAAAAACTCAATCTACTGATCAGCACAAATCATAATTCATTCTTTAACAAATTAAGACAATATCTACTTTTTTTCCATAATGTACGTTTTAAAGCAAAACTAACTATACAAACATATAGTTTCTGAGATGAACTGTAACACCTCAACAAAACATAAAATATGTTCATAGATCAAAGATGGGCAAACGTGACATGGAAGAAGATGGTCTGCAGGCAAAATGTTTGTGATAGCAGGTGATTATTAAAGTAAGTGCATGGGTGAAGATGTTGTGTCAGTGTAGAGTAGACGGGTGGCTACCTCAGGTAATATACTAGTATACAATACAGATGTTATACACTCCGTATGTACTGGTACGCACGCCTCTGTAAGCGCGTACAATGCACTATTTGATAAAGCCAGAATAACCTGAATGACCACTGGCAGATTTCAACAACCCCTACTATAAATGGCCAAATTGTTTTATATTGCATGTAAAACAAAATCACTTTAAGATTTTTTTGGAGGAAAAGGTACTTTTTCCCCCCCCCAGGAGGTGGGCACCCTTCAAACATCCCGGATCAGCCTTACCTATACACAGGTGCTGTACAACAAAGACTTATTAAGTAATAACTATACAAAGTTAACACTACATGTGTGTCTGTAGTACACTCCATCCCGAAACAAAGACATCTAGTTGTCAGTGAAACCCTGTGGATTGTACAGGCAGTCGCCGCTATACACTTGTATATATATGACCTTGGTCAAGGTCAGCCAGTTTGGTTTGTGATGTGCCCAAGGGTTAGGGTGGCTCTTGCATCTAGTCAGTCGGTAATGTCATTAAGGCTATGTATTCTGTGTGACCTCACCTGACACCACAGGTAAGGCTCGTCTTTAGGACTTTGATCAGGCAGACCTACACTATATACCTACAAGTGTACGACCAACAATAATATATCAGATTGTTTCGTCAACCACATGCATGTAGTAATTTGTCTCGTTTTCTTTTCAAACTGTTACAGCTTATAGAGAACACATCAGCTGGTGTATAGGGAACACATCGGCTAGTGACAGGTGTGTTTTGTAACCTCAATACACAGCAGCACCTGTCTAAACCGACCGAAAGGTAACACCTGTCTATACCAACAAAACACATTTTTCCGATTTTCGTCCTGTATATCAAATACTTTTGTTCATTGAATAATTATAAATTCATGATACATTTGAATTTCTGATGGACCCAAAATGTGAATAAGACTAACATAGATCTACTGTTACAATTTCACAGGGTACGGTTTAGACAGGTAATACAATGAATATTAATACTGTATCATATCTATAGTTCCAATTACACTGAGTACGGTTTAGACAGGTAATTAACAATTTATACCCTGTAACATATCCACTGTTCCAATTACAC